AAGCTTCTTCTTCAACACGTTTTCTGTTTTGATGCTGCTGTGACCCCTGTGATGGTTTGAAGCTGCTCACCCCCTGTGATGGTCAATGCTGTGTTTCTCATGTGCTCGCCCTCTCACGTCTCTCTGCTCCTTGTCATTCTTACGTCCGTCTCTCTTGCGAGTGTCTCCCTGCCGCTCTCTACCTCTCCTGTTAACATTTACGTCTCTGTGTCCCCCCACCGTCTCTCTCATCTCTCTCCACGTGTCTTCTGCACTTCTCCCATTTACCTCTCCCCCCTTTCCCCCACCCGTGCCTTCGCTTCCCCTCTCCGCTTCCCTCCCTTTCCTGCCCACCTCCCTCGTCCCTCAAAACCGCTGCGGCCGACCGGCCCGGCGCGACCGGCAAAAAAACCGCGACACCAAAACGTAACTGAACGCGCGCAAACTCGCACGAAGGCCCGCCGGCGGCCGCGCCGTCCTGAGCGGGGAGGCCCTGCGGGCTGCTGCGGCGGCGGCGGCGCACCCCCACAATCCCCCGCCGCACGTCATCGGCGTGGGCGCGATGCTGGGGGGGGGCGCCAGCGTCGCCCTGGCGCAGTACAACACGCCCGTCCTGCTGTACTCGCGGGACGCCATCGCCGACGCTGTCGCCGGGCAGGCCCGGGCCTTGGGCTCCGAGATCGTCGGGTATTTGTGATCCGTTCCGAACGGCGGCGCTTTGTTCGTAGGCCAACGATGGGCAACCCGGACTAACCATGAACCGTTTTGCGCTTTGCCAGGTAAGGCCCCGCCGAGCTGCGTAGCTCTTTGTCGGCAGCGACGCGGCCACAAATGATAGCTCGACTAAGTGGCTTGTCGCGGGGAAATTTATAGCGGCCAAATAGTCTGAACGCGTGGTGATGTGGATTCTAGATGTGGAGGGGAAAACCAGAGGACCCGGATTAGAATCCACGCAAACTCCAAATACACTGCAGGCGTCGGGGTCGGGATCCAGCCAGCGACCTCTTGCATAGCAAGCGAGGTAGTAAACATCTCGCCACCGTGGCACCAAGATGAGTTGGCGGGTCACCATGAGGCGGCCGTCCTTCACCTCGGTGGGCCGCGAAGCCTGACATCGTGATGGTGCGCTAATCAGAATCGGGAGCTTTGTTTATCCTGGTGAAATCCGATGAGCTATGAAGCTCTTTGTCACAGATGTCCTGTATTGGGCGGGGTCAGCAAGTTACAAACATGCAACAAAACTTTATTTTACATAATGTATTTATCAAGATTGGGCAAGGCAGTAAAATCAACAACTGAACAGTGCCAGTCCACACCAAGCTAACAACAAAGCAGTAGTCCCTCAACAAAATGGCACCTGACCCCACGCATTGCCCTGGACACACTTAGGCCAGGCCACCACAGGGGACCCCGCGGGACGCAGGTTGCCCACCACAGCTGTGGACGATGAGAGAACGCCACCATCATGTAAGTACAGTCTGTTCTGCCATAACGCGGTAGTAGTAGTTGTTGCGTTCCTGAAGAACACCTTGTTATGGAAAAATCGCGTTACTGTGAATTATACATAATATAGTGTAAAGTACACTCCGCGCTAACACGGCGAGATGCGTACGCAAGGCTGAACAAAGACCGAGGCGCCGTGGGTAGCGTCTAGAAGCATCCAGCAGCATCCCGCCGCCTTGTGCGACGCTACGCCGAGGCAGCCGTACGACCGCTTATTCCTACTCGCGCGACGTAGTTCCGTTCGCTCGATCGCGTTATATATCCAATTGGCATCCGCGTCATAAAAAAAATGCGCTCCCTTGTGCATTACTTGCCTTTACATCCAAATTTGCGTGACGAATACGCACGGCGTCGTGCGAGAACAGACTGTGCTACACCGCATGGATACAATGCTCTCAGCCTTGTCCACACCACCAGAGGGCTACGCGAGTCCGTCCGTATTATTGCTTGGATCAACGGACTCGAAACATTTGAAACCGTGACCGTCCCGACAAGCAGCAGTGAGGCCAGAGACGACTGCGGACGGTTGTTGTTGTCCATCACTAAGGACTCCGTCGGTCATCGATTTGTGTGCGCGCGCCAGAAATGTTTGTTGAATCGCGGCAGATTTTTTTTTCTCCCGTCGCTGATAAATTTGCCAGTCGGCCGACGGTCGGATTCATTTCTCCGCCGGGGAAAATAACGCATTTGGTTTTCACGCAATTCTGAGAGTGCAAGGCTATCACGTAGAGGCTATGTTTCACCGACGAGCATAGTCTGCCGGTAGGCGGCGATGTTGCTACGTGGTCGATTAAGTAATTGGCCGCTAATGTTTCGAATTTGCCAAAATTGGAAACGGCGACACCGGCGCACACGGCCCCCAATAACGTAACGGGATCTTGAACGTCCCTCTGCGAAGCAGATGCGGGCCGTGTTCGTGATTCACGCACGCCGCCGCAGTATTAACCAGGGAGGCCGCCGGGCTCAAGCCGCGAACCTCTGCGACGAGCGGCGAAGGCGCCACCGCTCGGCCACGTCACAGCCTCGTTCCTTCCGTCAATCCGTGCATGAGTGTGCGCGTCCGTCTGTTCGTCCGCCCGTCTGCCCGTCAGCACGTGCATGAGTGTGTGCTGCCCGCCCGATGGCATTTAAACGTGCTTTCACGAAAAAAACTTAAACCCAAAACTAAACGGGGCTCTTTCGATTTGAAGCTTTCGTGACTGCAAGGATTCATCATCTTTGGTTCTTTCGGTAAAGTCACGTAGAATGAGAATAAAATAATAAAATAACACAATAAAATTCTCACGACGTTTCGGCCACAACGCAGGCTGCCGTCTTCAGGTGAAAGGTACAGAACTGTCGGGACGACAGAGCTTCTGAAGCTCTGTCGTCCCGACAGTTCTGTACCTTTCACCTCTCTGTCGTCCCGACAGTTCTGTACCTTTCACCTGAAGACGGCCGCTTGCGTTGTGGCCGAAACGTCGTGAGAATTTTATCGTGTTTTATTACTTTATTCTCATTCTACGTGACTTTACCGAAAGAACAAAAGAAGATAAACGGGGCTCCTCGCCGTCCCAGACGCCTCGCTGAAGAAGCGCGCGTGCCCGCGTGTGCGCGTGGTTTCCTGCGCCGCGTGATTATCGCCCAGTAAGCCTCCGCTTCTCAGTGTCTTATCGCTGTCGTGTTGAAGCCGCCACTTGAGGGCGGCGCTCTCGTTTCCTTTTTTGTTTCGTCCCCCGACCCCTGTGTCTCTTCCCCCGCCTGACCACGTTCCCCATCGCTTTGCCCTGCCTGCTGCTTTCTCCCCGTCGGATGATTTCCTGTTGCTGACCGCTCCATTACCTCGTCCTCCTGATCCTGCTGCTGCCGCCGCCGCTGACGACGATCATCCGACGATGATGATGACGCTGACAACGATCGTCGTCATCGTTGCCCACTCCCCCCCTCCCCATCCCCCTACCCCGCTCAGCGATGGCGATGCACCGAGCCCGTGAGTCACCGCGTGCCAACACTTGGGCGGCAAAGCGCGCGCGCTGCGAACGGAGGTTCAATTCTCGCGCTCCGACGTGTTCCCGGCCTGTGCCGCGCGCCCTTCGGCGTGGTGTCCGACGTTTTGCACGCTGTGCTGGGAGCTTCCTCGGTGTTCAGTTCCTGAAGAAGCTCCGAGCAGGTGGAGCGAAACGTGGGACACTGTGCCAAGCAAACACGAAGTGCGACCCGAAAGCACTTTCAGTCCATGGGTAAGAGCAGAATCTGGTAGCACCTGAAGTAGCAGAACTCTAAGCCATGCCGATCTACTTACACGGCCAATGGGAGTGAACCGAATCGTTTCAAATGGTTATTGCGTAATTCATCGTTACTGGCCACATGGGGGCGATGATAACCCGCTGAAGTTAAAGCCCCCTGCTGGCGGCACCAGCAAGTGAATCCTCTCTCAGGCCCTGGGCTCGCGGACTCGCCCAGAGAGCTATCCAGCGCAGCCTACGTGGTAGAGGTTCAGTTGGCATTGCCGCTTGCCTTGACTCACCTAGTGAGCGTGGTGAGCGTATTGGCCCAGAGGGCGCGTAACGATTTACCCCGTCCCCCGTCCCCCCTTGCGATTTTGATGATTGTCAAGATTCAAGGTCGCGATTCAGTTGTACCCTTGAATCAAATCTACGTTGTGCGACTGCAGCAGCCGCTAGTGGCGTGCAGGGGGGGGTCACGAGAAAAGCCCTGTAGCAATGCGAGAATAGCTACGTCGGAGAGCCGTTTGGCGGTTACCCCCGCGATTCGATGTGCGCGTCGCGGGCTTAAGAACCGATATCTGTCGGGCGCGTCGTTGAACCTCGAGCGTGCACGCCGTTTTTTTTGCGTATTCCTGAGCCCGCGCTCCACCACCCAGTTTTGTTCACGTGCGAGTTGTTGCGTTTGTTGAGTTTTGCGCGCAACGTGCGTACGTGCGTGTGGCGTTTGTCCATGTCCCTGGTTGCGTGTTTTTTGTGCAGCACGTGTGTGCACTTCCGGCCGCTGCGGAAGCAATGAAACGCTTGGCTTCAGTAGACTGGCTTATCCGGACTACTTCCAGCAGTGGGATTTTACTCCATGCTACCCTTGTCATGCGTTTAAGACCATCTTGTGTATGTCAGTGTGTGTGTGTGTGAGCGAGTGCGTGTTTTTATTACTGTATATGGGGTGGTGCATTGCACAAGCGTATTGCGCTACAAACCCGGAGGTCCAAGTGAATTTAACCGCCTTGGCTAACATCGGTGGCACGTGTAAACGGAACCTGTTATGGACCTCCCCTCGGTCGACTCGGCCTCAAATGAGTACCTGGTTCGGTGTGTGAACATTGCCAGTGGGGGAGACAAAGGCGGCCGGGCGTGGTGCTTTGCCACCCGCCTCCCTTTGCGTGCCGTGCCGGCCTTCATAGGTGCTGCTCGCTTAACAGCACTTGCCCCGACAGTCTGTTAAGGTTACACAGGGGAGGGGCAATCATTGCGTGCGTGTCTGTGCGTGTCTGCGCGTGTCTGCGCGTGACCCCGCGTGACCCCGAGCAGCGGCCCGCCCAAGGAGGTGGTGGTGGACACGAGCACGCCCGTGTTCCAGGCGGTGGCGCGCCGGGAGGCGACGGCGCGTGGGGACGGCCCCAGCACTGCCGACGAGGACTGGGCCAACAAGAACAGCACCGCACAGTCGCGCTCCTTCAAGATCCTCGCGCAGATCACCGGCACACACGACGGTGAGGGTGTGTGTGTGTGGTGAGTGGTAGGGCAGCGGTTTAGCGTGCTCAATCGGTGCAGGGCCTCCCCAAGGTTGACTCAGCCTCAAATGAGTACCTGGTGTGGTGTGTAAACATCGCCACTAGGTAGACAAAGGCGGTCGGGCGTGGTGCTGGCCACCCACTCCCTCGTGCGCCGTGCCAGCCTTTGTAGGTGCTCGCTAGCAGCACTTGCCCCAATAGTCTGTTAAGGCTAGACGGGGGATCTTTGTCTTCGTCTGCAATGGTTAGCGCGCTGCGCTACGAATCCTGCGAACCAAGTTCGATTTCCGCTCACGGCCAACGCCGGTGACAATTATCTGAACCCGTTCTGGGCCTCTCCTAGGTCGACTCGGCTGCAAATGAGTACCCGGTGCGATGTGTAAGCATCGCCACTGGGGAGACAAAGGCGGCCGGGCGTGGCGCTGGCGACCCAGCCCCTGGTGTGCTTCAACCTTGCTCCCTTGTCGACTTTGGCCAGTATAATTCCATTGTACATTCTCCCCAGGGTGCCCTGTAAAAACGTTCGCATTAATAAAAAAAAAAATATTTTTGCTGCCCTGATTTTTTTGCAGAGGAGGCTGGTGAACTGGAGCCCGTGGAAATGACCAGGTAAGGGTCACGTGACGAAACGTCGCCTGGCCCATGTCCACGCGCCCACCCGCGTCGCACACCTGCAGAGTGGTCTTCTCCCGCGGTACATGGGGGGTCACTACTTGACACCGTGTTGCACGGAACAGTAATAATATCATCATGTCAGGATTATCTTCTCTTATTTTATTCCGATTAAAATGCCCTTTGGTTCCCGACGAAACGTTCGTGAAGTTGCAGCCTCGGTCATTTTTAAATAAAAAAAGCTGCCGTCCATTGAATCCGTGCTTTGCAAAGCGTTGTCCAGGGCAATTGTTAAAAAGGACGATATAATGAATTGAATTGTTTAATCCGCGCATAACTTGACCGCGTAAGCGTCACAGGTTGTCGAGCAGCAATCGGAAAAGCTTACGGCAAGGCTCTCATTGAGGCAACTGCAGTTGAAGCACTTTTGTCCAAGTCATCTTTATTCGTACTGCATGCACAACGACACTGCAAACTACACTGACAGAGTTACGAGAAACGGCCGTCGAGTAAATCCTAACGCTCTTGTCAAAATTCGTTATCTTATGAGGATTTACAAAGCCCCTTTTTGCAAAGTCGCTTTTTGCAAAGGTGCTTTACAGCAATTGTGAAATTGTACATAGGGTGATCATGATTTGAGTTGAAGAATTGGGTTTCTGTAAGTGTCAGAGTAGTTTTAATGACTGTAGGACAGGGAAGGATTGATAAGGAGGGGGTTTGGGATAGGCCGTAGCTGGAGGGGGGGGGTGGTTGGTACCACAGCGGCGAACCTGCTTGTGTAACGAGCGAAACTGCCCTCCCCACCCCACAATTCCGCGTGCACGCGCGCCTGCCTCAAAAAGCCACGGCCGCTCCTCCCGCGCAAAGAAGCACAGGTCGCGCAAATCCCGGGCCAACGACGCCACCAGCAGCGACGCGGACGATCGGAAACCGCCGCGGAACTCGAGGAAGGGCGACGTGCCCGTCAACGGGCCCCGGGCCCCCGACGCCAGCGCCGCCAGCGCCAAGCGGTCGCGCGTCGCCAACAAGGGGCACTCGGTGCGGTTCGACGAGAGCAGCAAGGGATCCGTCGCGGACGCGGCAAGCACCGGAGCGCAGGAACAGCAGCAGCAGCAGCAGAAACAGCAGCAGCAGAAGGCGCCGAAAGAGAAGCCCAATGGGCCTGTGACGAAGCCTGTGGCCTACCCTCGTCCCGCGAACTCGTCCGTGTCCGCGTCTCCGATCCGGCACGTGGAGCCATCCCGCCGCCGCTCGTCGGCAGCCTCCTCGCTGTCGGCCTGGGGGGCCGCCCACCCCTCCTGCTCCTTCTCCTTGTCGTTGGGCGCCAAGCCGTCGGTCGCGTACCCCTTCTCCGCCTCCGCGGCCTCGCCCCCGTCGCGTTCCTCCACACCTGCTCCTTCTCCTCCTGCTGCTGTTCCACCTCCTCCTCCTCTTCTACTTCCCGGTGATGGAGCATCTCTGGCTCCCAGGAGCCTTGTGGGCGCTGCCCCGCAATGCCCCCCCGCCTCCTCCTCCGCGCAGCCTCTCTCCCTCGCTTCCTCCAACTCCCCCGTGAGGTAAAACGCCTTCCGCCTCTCGAACGAACTGTCGATATTTTTTTGCGTCTCTCTCGTGCGTCCTTCGGCTCTGGTGTCGCCGTCGCTCAACTCATTAGATGGCCCGGTTGGCGCGTTTGGCTGCGTGCGGTGCGAAAGGAGTTCAACATGCATGCACATGCGTACATCACACGTTGTGCTAGCTTTTTTAAGAAACATAATTCAAATGGATAGAAGCCCATTTAGCATCTAGGTTTTTTTTTCATATTGCTATCTGCATGCCAAGTGACCCGGCGCTTTGATATCACGCCTAAGAAATTGTGACATTAAGCAGTGTTAAGTCCTGGCACCTCGCACACTTGTGGCCAGTTGCTTCAGCGGAATTTACAACGTTGCTTTGTAATCTTTGTGATTTTTATTTTGAATGACCATTTCACCTCATATTATGATGCCCTTCTGCGGCCATCCAATTTCTTTCGAACCGCTTTTTGTGTTTAGTTTGTTGTCCTTCCCCGGCACCTCTGTTTAGCGTGGTCGGCTACGTACGGTGCGAAGGAAATTCATCGCGCACGCACGCACACACGCACGCACACAGGCACACACGCACACACGTACGCACGCACATGTACATTGCGCCCAACCCCCTCAGCGCACCGTGGACAGCAACGTTCCTGTTCTTCGTTTCCTCAATCTGGCCGGCCTTCGAGCTTCCTCCCATTCCCCGCGCTTGCCAAGTTCCCGTAACTTGGCAAGAGCGAGGACCGGTCGGGTGGTGGAGGGTAGCGACACATTAATACTTACGCGGCCTTTATTATGAACTTTGCTCAGTCGGAGAGCGGGTGTTCTCTCGCCTGTTCGTGGAACCCCGCCCGTCACCTCATTTATCGACGTCTTCCCGATAACTTTCCTCGATTCAAGAAACACTCTCGTACCTCCATCCCCGTGCCGTGCGATCGCTTGTGCTCTCTGCGTCGCTGGCTGCTCTGTGTTGTTCGCGTCTTTTTAAAACACCTGAGCGGGAGAATCCACTGTGAAGGTGTTTTGTGTGACTTGCTGCTGGACATTAACTATGGGGGACCCTTTGTTTGCAGAATTAAGATGATAAAAAAAACACGCAAAAAAAACTTTCTGGCAATAATGCAGGCGTGATATGTGTCTACTTGGTGTTTTAACATCTTAATACCTGTATTATTGCCAGAGGCGGTGAAGCCCTTGATTATTATGTTTGTATCAGTAAGGACAGCCACGCGTATCGCTGCCTCGCACGGTGCCGCTCGGCTTGCGGAGGTTTTTCCGTCTTTGTGTTCGCTAAGCATCCGACGATTCGTCGATGGCAATCGAATTCCGCCGCTTGCGATAGGCGCCGCGGTGGCTGGGAGATGTTAACTACCTCGCCTGGTATCGCCCGGTGCTTACCGACGTGTTCTGCCTCTTGTTTCTCTCCCTTTTTCCTTCCTCGTTTTTTTTTCTCTCCTGCATCCGCCCGCCCGCCCGCCCGACCGCCCTTTACATCGTTAGCCGGACGGCACAGAGCTCCACCGTAAGGACAAACTCGTCGGTTTCATCTCGGGCTGTGACTGGCTCGCAGCTGGCTAGCGCGCGTGCTACGATCCGGGCTGCCCTATCCGGCCAGAGCGGGTACACTCCCACCCCCTGCACCCCCCCCCCTCTTCACCCCCCATCCCCTATCCCCAACTCTCTACCCTCCACACCCCCAAATCCTTCCCTGTGTGTCCCCATCCCATCGAGAAGTTCCGTCCGAACTTTGTGGCCAGATGTAGGGAGTTCTAACAAAACCCACGTTCGTCACTCTCACACCGCCTTTGGACATTTGTAATAGGCCGATGTGTCGGGTGATGGCCCCTTACAGCAGGGACACAATCGCCGGCCTTGATGGATTCACCGCCGGTCGAAGGACTCGTCAAAACGCTCCGCAGCGCGAGACCGTCAATTAAAAAAAAAATTCCGACCCATATTCTCACTTCTTCTTTGACTCGACTCGTTTCCACTTTTCCTGTCTTCCGTTTTCTGTGACCTGTTTGTTTCTCTTCCGTTTCCTCCTGAAACCCCTTCCCACCGGGCACCTTCGCTCGTCGCACTGTCGCTCTCGCGCATTCCTCTCTCCCCGCGACGGCGGCGGTGACGGCGGTGGTGTTCCAGGCTTCCCAATGGGCCTCCTTCGCCACCACGGCCCCAGTCGGCGCTCGAAGCGCTTCATCTCTCGCCGTCGTTTGGGCCTCCGCGAGTTCTGCCCAGAACCGCTGCTCCTTCGCCACGTTACGGTGCCCACACCCCTGGGCTCAGGTACACGAGGAGGAGAGTGGGAGGGGTGGGGGGGGGGGCCCTTTACGTCACATCGAGGAAGCAACCAACATCAACAACAACAAAACAACAACGTAACACGAAGGACAATGCGAAGCAGCACGTGGAGTCTAACCTATGCGCACGAACATTGCAGGCTGTTTAACCTTTCCAGACCATTTCCGTGAATTAAATCCATTTGTATATATACGTGGCACACTTTGCATCAATAAATTCTGCACACAAAATACAACTGTACTTCAATGCCCAACGCTTACAGTATATAAGTGTACGAGACATTTAGTTTAAAATAGCAAAGCAATGTGCCCTCAAATCCATAACTTCAACAGACATTTCTGACTAACGTTTGCTGCGTTTCAATTATAACCATTTAACTGCGGTGTTTATGCAGCTGTGCGCAGAGGCTGGTACGGACGAAACTGGGAAAGGGAAAAACATGTCCAATAGCGCGAAAAGTTCTACATTTGGTGACGGCACTTGCCCCAACAGTCTATTGAGGCTATACGGGGGGGGGGGGGGGGGGGTGGGGATCTTTGTCTTTGTGCATGAATGTTTATAATGACTCGTCCACCGCCTCGCCTCCCCTCCGCAGCAGGGACGAGCCTGTTCCCGTTGCCACGGCGACCATGTCGGTGAAGACGTCGACTCGGAAGCCCCCCGGGGCCACGACGGGGCCCCCCAAATCGACGGCCGAGCCCATGGGCCCCCCGCCGCCCTCCGTCAAGGCGCACACCGCTCCCCCGCAGGTCGTTAAAACCGCAGGTATGAATGTACGCGCAAAGACAAAGGCTACCCGGAGTTGCATTCGCAGGCTGCTCGGGGCGAGTGCTGTTGGCACACGAGGGGGCGGTGTGGCGAGCACCACGCCCGACCGCCCACGGCTCACCCTGTTGGCGATGTTTACGCACCGCACCAGGTTCTCATTTGAGGCCGAGTCGATGGTATTGGTGGCGAGATGTTAGCTGCCTCGCCTGGTAATACAGTAGGTCGTGGATTCAATCCCAACTCTGCCTGCCGCCTCTATATTAGGAGTTTGCATGCTCGCTCCCTCTCTCTCTCGGTCGTCGTGTTGATTTTTCTCCGCGCCCTCCAGTTTTTCCCTCCGCATTAAGAATCATGATTTTAGTGTTTGTCTGCTATAAATTTCCACGTGATAAGCCATTTCACTAATCTATCATCTTTGGACAGGTCACTTCTGAAAAAGAGCTGTATAGCTCAGTGAGCTTTACTCGGTAAACTAAAATATACTTTTTAGTTTTATATATGACTAGCGGGCGTTGCCCGGATCTTAAAAATCTTTCAAAACTACTCTTAAAAAATCTAACAGCAGTGCTTACTGACTGTGGTGGTACCTGCTATGATTACAGCAGTGCATACCGACTGTGGTGGTACCTGCTATCACTACAGTAGTACATGCGGACTCTATAGCAGTATTTATAGACTCTATAGCACAAAGTACTCATCTGACAAGAGTGGCGTGGTGGGCCTAGTCCCGTGCACAGCCTCCGGTCTCGCCTAGATTGTCCAGCTGGCCGAGGTGGCACCTTGGCAGGCTGTGGCTGGGCTGCTACCCCTGACCCCCCCCAGGGCACGATGTCCCCGGCCGCTCTGCAGTAATATCTACGGCCTATAGTGGTAGCATCTAGCGACTGTATAGTAGTAATAACTACACGCATCGGGGTGGGGGGGGACATGAGACAGTGAAGAATTGACCTGAGCGTTTAGCGTATTTTTATAGGATTTTTAACGCGAAATAAAATGTCCCCCTCACTCCCACCGAAGGCGCGCGACTTGGCATGGGCCATCCTCCCCACGAACAGCGCGCGAGTTGGTATGATCGTGCACGCGTCATAAATAAATAAATAAATTGTACGGGAGCGCACAGAAATCGCACTAAATCGCTAATTAAACTAATTAAAAGTTGACGGATGTGAAAAAGGAATAGCGCCTGCTCACCGCGGGGCTTCCGGCGTGGTGCCTGGCCATTTTTACGTAAACCCCACCGTTGGAAAGGCAAGCGCGCGACCACACACAAACCCCGCCACAAACCCACACACAACTTTTGACTTTTCTATACAGTATATAGATTTGTAGCTGTGGTGGTAACGGTGCCGGTAGCGGTACGTAATGGTAGGCGGCAGCAAGCAGTCGTCATAGTAACGCTTGATCGCTTTCGTCCACTCGGAGTCATCGGTGATTAAAATATAAAAAAAAACCCACCCCTTCGGTAACTATTTCCTTTGCCAATGGTTATTGGCTCGAGTCACGCGGACTCGAAAATACACGCAACAGCAAGGTGCAGTGGCGGATAGAGGCCACCAGGGGGCGCAAGAGGATCGCCATCGCTGCCCTTGCAACCCAGAACGCAGCACTGAACACGCATGCATCCAGCTCACCCCGAGCCCTCAATACTCTGATAGTGCGCTGTTTTTGAGTTATACGCCTTTTGGCGTCTTCTGGTCCAACACCAGTGGAGACTAGGCTCTAAACAAAGCTGTCTCGGGTGTGGACCAATCAAATTCAAGGACAGTGCCAATATTATTATCAGAGTTGTCTTTTTGTTTGCATTTTGACTGCTTGTGTTGCGGTTATTGCAGACATGATGCCTTGAGTAAAGGTGTCAGTTTTTTTGTGCCAGTTAATAGGGTAAAACCTATTCCTATACGCATCCAGTTCTTTGGTTCTCTCGGTAAAGTCACGTAGGTAGAAAAAATAATAGATCACGGCGTTGCGTTCGCAACACAAGCAACCGTCATCAGGTGGGACAACCACAGCAAGAAAAAAACTGCTTAAGTAGTTTTTTTCTTGCTGTGGATGTCCCACCTGCTTAAGTAGTTTTTTTCTTGCTGTGGTTGTCCCACCTGATGACGATTGCTTGTGTTGCGATCGAAACGTCGTGATCTATTATTGTTCTACCTAAGTGACTTTACCGAAAGAACCAAAGAGTATGGATTCCTGCAGTCACGAAAGCTTCAAATCAAGACGCATCCAGTTGTCAACGAGTACCTTGCTTATGGCCTCGGCATGCGGTTGTTTTTAAAAGCTATCCACCCCCTTGTATGCTCTGCCAACCCGGCTAAATGCTCACTAACAGCACTTGCCCCAACAGTCTCTTTAAAGGCTACAAGGGGGATCTTTGTCTCTGCTACTGGTAGTGGTGTCGATGATGGTTGTGATAAGATGGTGCTGGCGGTCGTGGTGGTGACGGCTGTAATAACGACGGCAGTGCTGGCGGTGGTGATGTCGATCGCGATGATAACGTTTGCGATGAAGATAGAGCTGCTGGTGGCGATAGTGATGGTTGTAATAATGATGATGCTACTGATGATGATGGGGATGTTAATTAGTTGTGATGACTATGCTGCTGCTGCTGGTGGTGGTGGTGGGGAGCAGTGGTGTAGCCTTTAGCGCACTGCTAGTAACCTGCTGACCCGAGTTCGATTCCTGCTCACGGCCAACAGAAGTGACGATTATCTGAACCGGTCCTGGGCCTCCCCTAGGTCGACTCAAAAATGAGTACCTGGTGCGGCGTGTGAACAAAGGCGGTCGGGCGTTGTGCTCGCCACCCACCCCCCTCGTGTACCGTGCCGGCCTTCATAGGTGCTACTCTCTAACAGCACTTGCCCCAAACCAGTCTGTTCAGGCTGTACGGGGGCCCTTTGTCTTTGGTGGTAGCGGCGGTTGTTCTGGTGAGCGAGAGGTCAGAAATGCGCCCCCCCCTCCTCCCCCTGACCCGCAGTGAAATTATCTTCGGCAGATGTCACGGGTGGAAGGAAACGCGATACGCGCTCACGTTGAGTGAGAGGGGAGAATCCGTCACGTTTGTCACGCGTTGCAAAACCGCAATCGTTTTTGCCAGGCAAGGTGGACGATCACCCAACTATCATAGCGGCTGTCGGAGGTGGCAGGTCATTGCTTCGTCCGTTCCACATGACTCTGGCAGCAATTGTTGGTCGTTTAAAAAAAGAGAAAAGTTAATGAAGCAATGACCCAGGCTCTCTCTTGCAAATTACATCAGTAACATAATGGGGCTAACAGCTGGTCAAGTGATTTCAACCATGCTTGGGCTTTATATATATATATTATTTATAATTAATGTTACATCCTGGTCGTGCGATCTGAGTCGTGACGTGAAGAAGAAGAATTGCCCGCGTTGGAATTCTCGTTGCTGGCAGCACAGCTGGGAATGGCATCGCGTCGTCAGGGGAGGGGCCAGCCCCGGCCCCCCCCCCCCCCCCACGTAAGGGTGGGGGCCAGCCCCCACCGCCTGCCAGGTGACTTCTCAAAGCCACGTGACGACCGTGCTGCCGCGCTAGCACAGCCGCCGTTGTTTAGAAACGAGACCCCGGGTCCGTGCCGTGGGGCCGGTGCTTGGTCCACGCGAGCAGCCTCGGACGGCTTCCTTGTCTCCCGCCGCTTTGTGACCCACGGGTAGGGCGCTCCAGCGACATCGCCGTCATGCGCGCACGTATGTTGAACTCCTTTAGCACCGAACATTAGCCAACCGTACGTAATCGGAGGGGCGAGACGTCAATGCGCCCCCACCTCCCTAATCCCCGCCCGGCATTACCGCGGATAATCGAGAGTTGACGACGGTAATAGATATTTCACAGATGTCCACACGTGGTGTGCGATAGTCGCATCACGAGTGTAATAATCATCGTGTCCGTGCCTGCTCGGCAGTGCTGGCTCGACACTCCCGCCACGGCTATCGCGAGCCTCCTAACCCAAACGGGGGCGTTAAGAGGTCCACGCCTGTGGAGGAGGCGAGGGTTGGCAGATCGCACACAGATTCGTGTTAAATCCCTCCCTGCCCCTGGGCAGGGCTTGCCAGGGTACGATTGCAGTACAGCAAGTAGGTTATATCCACCTGTACAGGAATTGAGTCTGACCCCCTCCCCTCTCCACCGAGGAATTTCTCCGGCTACTCCGGTTGCCTCCCACAGGTACCCTCGCCAGTTTACAAACATGTCCAAGCATCCAAACGGAGGACGGCAGAGCTCGGGAACAAAAAAAATTGTCTTCTCGCTCGCCTGTGGGTTTCCGATGCCTCCGAATCATTGTCTCGCCCGTCCCCTCCCTCCGTCTATCTCTCCGCGTGGGCGATCACGTGAAACGAATTGACGCACGTGTTTTACGCCCGTGCTTGAAGTGCGCCTTTGACGTGCGCGCTACGAACTCCTAACCGGCGACTGCGGTTTCGCCGGATCCCTCCCTGCAGGGCTGTCGTGGACGCCCAACGGGGCCTCGGCCCGCCCCCCCCTCTCCTCCTCCGGGGCGGCGGCGGCGGCGGGCCCAGCCGTCGCCGCCGCCGGCTTCGGCATCCAGGCCAAGACCAAGGGCCCCACGGCAGGCGCCCAGGAGGGCGTCGCCGCCAAGGTGGGCTCGGCGGGCGGCGGTGGGGCCGGCGGCGGCGGCGGCGGCGGCATGCAGGCCGGGTGGGGGGCGCCCGGCAGCGGCCTCCTCGTGCAGAGGGCCGAGCACGTGCCCGAGGCCCTGCGCGCGCCGTTCTGCAACAAGTGCAACAACATCATCCGGTACGCTTTTGATGGAAGAGCGAAATAGCTCAGTGGGCCTTACCTCGTAAAGTCAAGAGTTTAGTTTTAAAAATAGGTTAGTGTTAGTAACACGTCGTTCCTGTACAATGTCTAGAGATGATGCATCTCGCATTTAAGACGATCTCTAAATCTAATGTATTTTTATTATCATCGAAGTGTTTTCTTCGTACACAGTTCCCTCCCCGCTTGTAAACTCCCACGCACGCCCCCCCCCTCCGCCTCCTTCCCCTCGCCTACCCTGGGAAAGTTGACATGAACTGAAGGTCTCGCCTGGTTCACGATTCAAAAAAATCTTTATTTTTTATTTTCGTGTTCGGTTTGACATTTCCAACGTTGCGAAGAAGAAAAGATGACGGGGAAAAAAAAGGGCCCCCGATAAATGACCGCACTTGCACATGGTCTGGGCTGAACGTCGCACGAATGTCACGCCCCCTCGATGGCCGTGGGTGTTTCCTAAGGGCAGCGAGCACGTTTAAAAGCCATGCACAGATCACCCACAAAGCCAACCCTCGCTGGCGCACTCCTGCTGTTTTTTTTTTTTTTAGAAAGGTTCTGTTACTCAACATAACAGGTCAAATAAACACCGTTGGGTGAAGAAAAACTTAGCTTCACACATTTTGATTCGAAGCTTTCGTGACTGCAGGAATGCACGCTCGCCTGATGACGAGTAGCTCGCGCTGCGATCGAAACGTCGTGTGATCTATTGTTGTAGTTTTTTTTTTTAACCTACGTGACTTTACCGGAAAAAAAAAACAAAGCGTATTTACACACATTTGTTACATACGTAGCACGTGAAAACCCCTGTTTGGACGTCTCGAAGTAATTATGCATGACACCAGAGGACGGGTATGAGTTTTAAGATGAGATAGCCTCAAGCATGTGTAATGCTATTTACATTCCCGAATTGTAAATGGGTGTGAAAACTCTGAATCTCACACGCCCGGTCCATTGCATGTAACGTGAGTGTAATATTCGACTTTGTAAAATATATTTATTCCAATTGTGCTCTCTGGGGTGAACTCATGAAATGAATATCCAATCAAAGGCGTCACAGAGCCGTGCATCCCTTCGGATCATCGAGCGCTTCCAGGATTAAGGGATACCACAGCACTACTTCTGAAAATCTCATGTGTGTATTGCATGTTGAACTTCTTTTGCACCGTACGTAGCCAACCGTGCTAATCGGAGGTGCGGGGGAAGGACGACAAACTAAACACAAAAAAGCAGTTCTCAAGAAATGAGTTTCGCAATTTTCAGTATTTGACCTAAATACGTGGTGAACGACCGCGTTTCTGAACCATACGTGATAGCAGGAAGCACGCACCGATAGAACCAAAATAACGTGGTTCTTTATGCCACTTTGGGATCAGTAAGACAGGGCGTTATTAATGCGCTGCTGTCGGTGGCAGGGAGATAGCGGAAGTGCTGCCTGGAGTGGAGTTAATTTGCCGATCTCACCAAGGAGCATAAACCATCACGTGAACCCCGGTCATCCTCGCAACAGCTTATGGCCAGCCATCGAACGAAGACGGTCACTGCATCGCGCGCTTCTAACGTGCTTCTACGGCCGTCTGGAACGCTCTTCCTTCCGATATTAGGAAGCCACTGGATCTATGCACTTTAAAATGATCAAGATTCGCAAAGAAGCTTGGAGAGATGCATGCTCGGACTTACGATGAGAGACTAAAAGTGCGATTCGACAAGATAACGAACGCAAGTTCGAGCTGTCGTTCCGTCCGTTGAGAAGAGTGAGGGGGTCAAGAAATCGAACTCTGTCCGAGAGCAACATCCACTGGGTAGATGGAGCAATGAATTCGGTTCACGCTCGGCCGCTCGGTGGATTCCTCACACCGCTGGACCGTGAGCGGTGGCGTTCTTGACTTGGGCCGGGGTGGGAGAGTGCGGCTTTTGTGTACGTGTATTTTTTTTTATTTTACCAGGTAAGGCCCCCACTGAGCTGCGTAGCTCTTTTTCTGAAGCGACCTTGGCTCTCACAGACGATAGCTCACCGAAGTGGTGGCTTATCATCGTGTGAACATTTATAGCAGCCAAATACTCCAAACGCACGTTTCTAAATGTGAAAGGAAAAAAAAAACGGAGAAAAATCCGCGTGACCGCGGGGAGAATATGCAAACTCCAAATATACAAGAGTCAGGGTCGGCATCGAACCCACGACCTCCTGTATACCAGGCGAGGGAGTTAGCGTCTCGCCACCATGGCACCTTCATCCAGCAGTCGATTGACCACGGATGATGATGATGATGATGTTAGAGGGAAGCGGATTTGTCCGTTGCGTGCGGAGCGCCCTCCGTCGGGGACGGGGGCTCCTCTCGCTTGCTTTTGGCCGTGTTCCCCCGCTCCCCTACGCGGCGGTGCGCAAGTACAGACGGCCATTGTTCACGCGTCACCCGGGGAGCGATGACGAATAGCGAGAAGGGGGGCCACGGAGCCACGGGGGGAAGGGGGGAAACGTAGCGGGAGTGGGCGGGCGGGCGGGCGGGCGGGCAGGCGGGCAAGCGATGGGAAGAAATCCCGAGTGCTTGGCAATCGATGGCAGCCCCCTCCTCCCACGTTGTGCGTGACGTTGTTTTGGCTGGGTGAGGGGTTGGGGGTAGGTCACGATGGTTTAGATTTGTGTTTAATATTTCATTGTACGTCTTTTTTATATTCCCATTGTGCTATCGGCGTCGCACATCGCTGGACAAAAGTACCAGCTCTCCCCAGCAGAGCGGTGCAGTCCATCGTGCTGGAGATGGGCCCGCGGAACCGGATATCACGGAGCTGCCTCCGAGAGGCAATCCAAGTGACCTCTGGTCCACACAGTCGGGAGCGGCACTTTCCCACCCGCCCACCTTGAGAGTCAATTTTGACCACGATTGTTTTCGATTTCGGAGGCAAGGGTTGGTGGGTCACATCGGGATTTGTGACTGTCCATCTTAACCTGCTGAGCTGCAAGGTGGCCACGCAGCAGCACAGCGAGCGGGTTCATTGACCAATCTCTGCGGACCTCTCAACGTCATCGTCCCCCTGCATTCGTCTGGTTGGGTTTTCTCCTGGACGCGTCCAGTTCCTTCCCGTGCGAAGCAAAAAGCACCCTGTGGTCGAGTTCGCCAAGCATTCCCCAAACGTGGCAGCAGCAGCAGCAGCACCCTCCTGACAAGGAGCCCATGAGACTGGACGACACCATCCAGCGTAAACGAAAAGAGAAGGAATGAAGATTTCCTTTTTTTAAATCGCTGTCTTGCGTCGCAGCGCACATTGGCGGCCGAAGGAAAGCGACACCTCGGACAAGCGCTAGCTAGGCTACGTACGGCGCGGAAGAGGTTCAAAACGCGCACGTACGTACAATATCGATCGGATGTCGAACGAGCGTTGCCCGGAAGTCGGTCAACTTTAATTAGCGTGGCAGTCGTCGCAGTCATCGCAGTCATTCCGACGGTCAGCGAGTTCAGCGCAGAGAAACATTCCCCGCCGGTTCACGCAGACACGTCCCGGCTGTTGCTGCAAACGGTACCGTCGGCCCAATTTTCTTTTGTTACGTACGTATGTTGAATTTCTTTCACGCCGCACGTAGCCGACCGTGAGCGGTGGGGGGGGGGGGGGTTGTGGCGGGGGAGACAACAAACTCAACACAAATTACAGAGAGGGGTGAAGTGAAAAGCAATGAAAGCTGCAGCCACGCGATTGCAGGCTCACGTCGCTGCTGGCGGAAGGTCCCCCCACTGGAGGGAAACGCTCCAGAGAGCCCCTCTGGTGGAGGGCATGTTGGCCTACTCGTCCACCCGGCCCAGGCGTCTTGGAAGATGCTGGAGTGCCGACACTTTACCTCGCCTCGCCGCGCGCGACCTTCCGATGGACTTGCAGTATCAGAATCTTTATTTGGACCGCAGGAGGAATCCGATGAGCTATGAAGCCCTTTGATGTCCAGTAGGGGCACGGGGTCAGAAAGTTACAACAACCAACGGCACACGAACCAATAGGAGTGCAGAGTGTAGGCAAGGTAAGAAAGTAACTTGTAATAAGTAAGTAATTAATAAAGCAAATACATCGAGTATTCAAGTGCAAATTGCAAAAGTATATCAATTCCTACTGTGGCGTTACCCATTCATACTGCTGCTGGGCGGCGGCGTTGGGAGGTGGGGTGGGATTTCTGGAGCCCCCTCGCCCCCCCCCCCACCCCCCCATCGTTTCAACTGCCGCACCGGGGAGATGGAATCGAACCCGGCGGGGATCCGCGATTCCAGCGCGCCGACCGTTGTGGATGCCGCGGCAGCGTCCGCGGGAGGGCCCCAAAGCGCGCAGCAGACGAGCCGAGAGCACATCGGCAGCACAATTGGAAGGCGACCCCCAGTGACGACAGGCGGTGAAGACATTAGGAATATTTACAGCCCGCTCTGGCAAGAGCTCAACTCGCCCTGTTCTGCAGCGCTTGGCCTTGGCTCAGCGGCGGCTGATCGGACTCCCGCGGCCTCTTGACGGCCGCCTGGGATGTCCCCCCCCCCCCCCCCCCACCACCGCCACCACCACCCCCACCGCCGCCATCACCTCCCGCTTCCCAACCTCACGGTCGGCGGTTTACGAGAATTCTCTCTCCTTCTGTGGGAAAACGAAATGGTAATGAATCGTGGTGAAAGCGAGTCCAACTTGAATCAGTCGATGCATTTTATGGCGAGTGGGAGGGACGTTAATTTTCAGCGGAAAATTAACGTCGCCCCTATGAAGTGCACCGCCGCAATGAACCCCAGCGACCTGAGGTACAGTTTTGGCCACGGCTAACGTCGGCAGCGAGCGATGCGTGAACAAGGATACTGCGCGCCATATCACTGACGGTGGCTGGGAATCGGAGTTAGTATTGCAGTCAGTGAGGCACCCACCGAGCCAAGCAGCTCCAGTACACGGACGGCCACAGCCCCGAGACGGTCGACAGTAGCGTCAGGGTACCGGGCGCATCGCTGGACAGTGACTGCGTTAAATGAACGGACTGCGACTCGTCATTGACGGTGGCCTGGGATTAGAGTTGGATTCCTGGCCACGACTCGCATCAGTCGAGAGTGGGGGGGGGGGGGGAGGGAGGGGGGGGGGGCACTTCCCTCCACCTAGACCTGCGCTGACCGGCATGGTGAAGTATGGTCAAGCAGCCCGCACGACTCACGCGGCGTGGACTTGGTCCAGCGAGTGTATTGAGAAACGACTGCAAAATGGTTAATATCAAATTGAACAGAAAATAACCCCACGCGGCGACACTCGCACGGCCAGCGAGTGTCTGCGTTGCGCCCCCCGTCGACGTCCCGCAAGAAATTCTGGGCGTTTTCCCATGATCCGCGGCGGGTTTTAAATCTTTTGCCTGTGGCCCTGTCGACGCGCAGAGAGACGTGCAATGTTTTTGTCTGTGAGAACGCAATGCTCCCAGTGTTCGCGGATGTCAATGATTGTAACGATGTATGTGAAAAAAATAAAATGAAGCTGGAAAATATGCAGAAAAGTTTGGGCAGGGGGACAAAACGAATGAAAAGTCAAGGGGGGGGGGGGTTATTTTGTTCTTTCGGAGTGGATGATGGTGGGGGGGGGGGGGGGGGCGTGGTGGGGGGGCCGGTGCGGTGGTTAGGGGCGCGGGGGGGGGGGGCGGTGGGCCTGCCAGTGAGTGGTGGGAACTGAGCGGAGAGCTCCGGCGAGTTGGGAAAACCCAAGGAGAAGGGAGGTGGAGCGGGGGGGGTATAGACGTTCATTTCCCTGCTGGGGGCTCGGCAGCGCCTACCACACAGCCCCTCTCGGGACTATTATAGTTTAGGAGGGGTATTTTTTTTCTGTTCACGGATACAACAAAAAAAAAACCGGAACGTGGCCCCTGAGCTCACGGTTTCCGTGCCTGCGAGTCGCGGGCCGCCCGTTGCGGCCGCTGCCGCCGCCGCCGCCGGGAGTAAACGCCTCGTTTCATTTTTAAACCCTCGGGAGTACCGGCGGGGTGGGGCGGAGGAGGGGGCGCCTGGATTAAATATATTTAACAGAGCCCCCTCTCCCCCCCCCCCCATTTGGACACAACGAACGGCGAAATAACTCCGAAGCGCTCGGCTTCCAAAGAACACACGGAGCGGCCACGGTGCGGTGTGGTCCGCGCGCGTGGTTTTCAGTCTGCTGATAATTAAGTGTTGATTTAAAGCGACTCGTATTTTACAAATATGGTTAATGATGAAAGGTTATCCTGTACCGCGACCGTGATGAAAAAATGTTTTTACGTCTGTCTCCCATTCCCCTCCCTCCCTCCCTCTCTGTGGCATACACGTGCTCTCCCAACATGATCGCACTTGCGCATTAAAACCACAAACACATGTCTTGCACTCACGCACGCAAAACCCGCTGCCGTCACGCGCTCGCCACCGTACTCGCAAACGAACGCTCGCACACGCGTGGACGCACGGACACACGTTCAAACGCACGCACACACGCACACATTCACGCACGTGAGCACATATGCAAACGCCCGCATGCACACGCACGCACACACACGTACCCCCCCTCCCCCCTCCGCCGCTCCCCCATCCCGCTCTCTCACAGAGGCCCGTTTATAGTTGCACTGGGCCGATCGTGGCACAAGGATCACTTTAACTGCTGCCATTGCAACTCGTGCCTGGCCGACACGGGCTTCGTGGTGGAGGCGGGCAAGGTGTACTGCCAGGGCTGCTACGGAATGTTCTTTGCACCCCCGTGTGGCAAGTGCAGCCAGAAGATCGTCGGGGTGGGTCAATCGCACCCCTCCTTCATTCCTCATTTCGTCGGCTTCTCTCTGCGCGTGCGATGGTTTTAGAACCTCCCCTCCCGCTTCCCCCGCCCGCACCTCCCACAACTTCTGCCGCCCCCTGCTCCCCTAACCACCCGCCCCCCCCCCCACCCCCCCCTTGCACTGTGTGTGTGTTTTATTAACATTTTTTCGACATTGTTTTTATTCCGTCAATCGGTCATTGTCAAGCGCCAGTTGTTGTCTTTGTTGCTCTATCCCGGCTAAACGTGCGGTGCTGGTTCGGGCCACCGGCGGTTGGCATGTTGGCCGGAACCTTCGGAACCAATGTTGGCTCCGTTGGTTCCATGTCTGCCGGCACCTGCGTGTATGCGTGTCGTCGTCGTCGTGGGTGGAGTGGTGGTCTAGTGGTTAAGTGCGCCGCGCTACGAACCCGGCGACCCGAGTTCAATTCCCGGCCACTACGCGCAGCGGCGAATATGTGAACCGGCCCTGGGCCCTCCCACCTTGTTTGAGTGAGTCACCAATGAAGCACCTGCTGCGGTGTGTAAATATCAGCACTGGGGGGAGACAGAGGTGGCCGAGTGTGATGCTGGCCACACGACCCTCGCCTGCGCGCTGCGCCAGCCTCAATAGGTGCTCGCTAACAGCGCTTGCTCCCACAGTCTGTTAGTGAGGGATCTGTGGACGAATTGGGGCGGCAGTGCTGCGGTTAGCGAGAGCTACGCTACGAGTCTGGCGACCCGAGTTCAATTCGTGCTCACGGGCCCAACGCCAGTGACGATCATCTGAATCGGTGCAGGGCCTCCCGTAGGTCGACTCGACCTCAAATGAGTACCTTGGTGCGGTGCGTAAAAACATCGCCACTCGGGAGACAAAGGCGGCCGGGCGTGTTGCTGGCCACCCACCCCGTCGTGTGCCGTACCGGCCTCCGTAGGTGCTCGCTAACGGCACTTGCCCCAAGAGTCTGCCGAGGCTATACGCGGGGATCTTTGTCTTTGTGCACGTAAATCGCGCGCCCCTTCGGGCCGACGTTTCGTAGCTGGGCGTGTGACTTCGATGTTCGACTTCTGTAGTCGACTCGACTCGGAGCCGGACTCGGTGAGGGGCTCCCCCTTCTGAGCTCCGTTACAAAGACGGCCACAGCCGCAGACCATCGGCTGTGGGGGTGCCGTTAGGGGACATCGCTGGGTAATGACGAAGTTTAATGAAGAGAGTACAACTTGACTAAAACTCCACTCGCCTTCGGCTGAAACCGACTTCAATAAAAAAATAAACGCCGACGAAATTAACTCCGGCGCACGCACACACACACACACCGCACCTCCGATTAGCACGGTTGGCTACGTACGGTGCGAAAGAAGTTCAACGCGCACACACGCACAATGACTAAATTAGACTCGCAGACTACGACTTCACTAAAACTCCGCTCGTCTGAGATAATTCATAATGTGGATACAAAAAATGTTGCAAACGTCGGTATGTCATGAGTTGATGTTTTTGATGATTGGCCCGCCAATGGCTGCGGCCACAATAACGCGACGCGCGCTCACAACAACCCAGCTCGCTCCTTCTCATCTCTCTCGCTCCTTTCTCCGCTCTCTCGCCGCCTTCTTCACGAGCCGCTGCGCGATGAAAGGCCCGGGGTTGCGTTGTCCGCGCGAGCCCGCGGGCTTTAAATGGCGCTGGCCGAGCGCGAAACCCGACCCGCCCGCCGATGATTGATGTACAAATTCCCGAGCGTAACCGGATCAAAGCCGGGCGGCGCTGCTCGGCCCGACAGAATCAATGTCGGGGCCCGTCACAACTCCGAAGTGGACGGCGTCAATGCCGGGGGGGCGGGGGGGGGTGTCCCGCTTGTCCCCGCGATCGCGGCGACGCCAGCGCCGGATTTGCAGAGATTCTGAGAACTGTCGGAGAAAAAAGGAAAACCGACAAAAAGAAAAGAACGAGGTGTCCTGGGAAAAGCTGCGAGTGGCAACCACGCCGAAAACGAGCGGGTTTTGGCAGCGGCGTGGTCGTTTAGGCGCGGTTCGACGAAGAATCGGGCAGTGTTGGTGACAAATAACAACGATGCTGTTTGTGAGAAGCTGCAATATGCATCGTCGGCTGTGGGAGTTTGTGTGTGTGTGTGTGTATACATTGGGGGGGGTGTGATGATTGAGTCTGAAAGTTAAGAGGTTAAAAAGTTACGCGTTTGTAACCCACACAGATTTCCTTAGATTCAGACGGGCGTGGAAGACTGCCAGAACTGGCACGACCAGCAGTTGCCCAAGCTCTGTGATCCTAAATATGAACCAATTACATACAACGTGCGCACTTTTTATTTTACTTATCCATGGTCGATGCGAGTGGGTAAACGAGTGAAGGCGAGGAGCGATTATCGATCGCCCGCCAATGTGCACCATGGCCAGAAATCAAACTCGCACCGCCTACCCGTCACCGCCACTTGACGTGCGCGGTGGTGGGCGGCCTTAAGAGGCGCTCGCTAACGGAACATACTCCTCCCAACAATTTGTTATCGTCCACATGGCAGGATCTCTGATGTTGCTGCTGTGTGTATCGGTGAACGTTTGTGTGAGTGTCTGGGGGAAGCGGGAGCGAAGCGGTTCGCGCTACGAACCCAACCACGCGAGTTTAATTCCCGCTTACAGCCACCAACACTGGTGACGATTATCTGAACCGATCCTGATCCTGGGCCTCCCCGAGGTCGACTCATTTCTCAAATGAGTACCTGATGCGATGCGTTAACATCGCCACTCGGGAGACGAAGGCGGCCGGGCGCGGTGCTGGCCACCCACACCACCCCTCGTGCGCCGTGCCGGCCTTCATAGGTGCTACTCGCTAAAAGCACTTTACCCCAACAGTCTGCTGAGGCTATACGGGGGGGATCTTTGTCTTTGCGCGTATGTACATATATATGTGTGTGTGCGCGTGCGTGTGCTCGCGCGTGTGCATTTGCGCACCTACGGGCACGAGTTGGCCAAGTCGCACCGCGCCCGCCCTTCGGCGCAAACAGTCGCCCCTCTATTGCCGTTCCAAGCCGGGTCTTTCTCTGGAAAACGAGTTGCAGATGTGATCCTGAAAAGCGGGGCGATTACATCGCTCGCTCGCCGGAGATCACCGGCGACCAGAGTCGTAGAGCGCTGCAGAAATTGAATCCGGCGAGGGCAGCTCCCAGAGCTGACCGCAGCCGTTTCAGGTGGTGTGAGCGCGGCCTTGTGTCCAAATGCCCGTCAGTGCGCAACGATGCAGGGAGCGGTGGCGCAGTGATTAGTGCGCACTGCGCTGCGAAAACCCGGCGGCGACCCCAGCTCGATTCCCGCTCACGGACAACGCCGGCGTGGAATATCTGGACCGGTTCTGGATATCGGCACCGGGAAGACAAAGGCGGCAGGGGCGTGGTGCAGGGCCAAAACACGTACCCCCGTGTGCCGTGCCGGCCTTAATAGAGGCGCTCGCTGAGAACACTCTCCCCAACAGTTTATGGGGTATATTTGTCTGTGTGTGTAAGAGGGGTGGCGGAGGGGGGGGGGGGGGTACGTGGGGGAGCGTTGGCAAGTTGGTTAGAGCTTGAATAAGCACCTAGCGCGGCACTACAATTTCAGCGCTCCTAGGGTGACTCGGCCTTAAATGGGTACCTAGTGCGGTTTCTAATCGGCAGCACGAGGGTAGACAAACGTCGTCAGGCGTGGTGCAGGCTGACAACCGGTTCACTGCGGGTTGATGAAGCCCAGGGCCGGTTCAGACACGATGTTTGCCATTGCCAGCCAATCGAACTCAGGTCGCCAGGTTCGTAGCGCAGTCGTGCGGCGTACCACTGCTCCACCAGGACTCGTGCGTGTGTGCGTGCGTGCCTAATACGCGTGTACGTAACCCAGGCGCACGTGAGCGTGCGATAAATCCACGTGCGCGTGTCTGTGTGAGGTGTTTGTGAGCACGTGTGTGTGTGTGAGCGTGTGTGTGTGTTTGTGAGCACGTGTGTGCGTGTGTGTGTGAGCGTGTGTGTGTGTGTGTGAGCGTGTGTGTGTGTGTGTGAGCGTGTGTGTGTGTGTGTGAGCGTGTGTGTGTGAGCGTGTGTGTGTGTGAGCGTGTGTGTGTGCGTGTGAGCGTGTGTGTGTGTTTGTGAGCACGTGTGTGTGTGTGTGTGAGCGTGTGTGTGTGTGAGCGTGTGTGTGTGCGTGTGAGCGTGTGTGTGTGTGTGTGAGCGTGTGTGTGTGTGTGTGAGCGTGTGTGTGTGTGTGAGCGTGTGTGTGTGTGTGTGAGCACGTGTGTGTGTGTGTGAGCGTGTGTGTGTGTGTGTGAGCGTGTGTGTGTGTGAGCGTGTGAGAGCGCCTCTGTGTGGTGCGCGTGCCGTCAAGGCGTCGCCGTGACAGGTAGTGCTGTGTGCCCGTCTGGCGGCCGGCCCGCTTGCCGTGGCTCGTGCCGCTCCGGGTATAAAGTTTCGTGGGCCCGTGTGACCGATGCCGTACTCGCGATCGAGAGTTTGTGTCATTTCTCCCCTCCCTCCCCCGCCCCTCCCACTCCCCCCCAATGTTATCGTGTTTGAGCGGTCCGCCGTCTCTTGAGCGAGACGAAGTATCCGCCCGGATCCCTCGCAGAGACGGTGCAACCACTCCGTGTTGTAGAAACGGCCCGCAGAAGCGGTTCATGCGGAGCTAGTTCTGAGTTCCCTTCGAGTGACCTCCAGAGGGCAGCGCTTTCCCCGCACGCTCCGCATATACGAGAGCGACGTTCGTCACGTGACGGACGGACGCTTTTCCCAAATTCGGTGCGGAACCAAAAAGTCATCGGTGACCTGGCGGGTGACCGTCAACTCGAGATCCCGGTTTAAAAATGCCGCGATTCGAACCCAGGATGTCGGCAAATTGCGCTCACTTCAGTTGACGGTTGCCATTCGAATGGAGAACTGCGACCCTCAAAGGAATGCCCCCCCCCCCTCCCCCACCATTGTCACCCCCCTCCCCCCCCCGTGATCACCTCCCCCCCCCCCTTCGTGACCCGTGGATCAAACAAATCAGTCGAGACGCCGGTGTGCGGTCCACGCGAACGCTGCCGCAAGAGGTCACGCGTTAGGCGCGACGGCTCCTTCGCCCCCGACGCGCCATGAAGCAAACGAATTATTTCGGCGGTGCCGGCTCCATGACCCCTGACCTCTGAGGTCACCATCCCCGTTTTAATCCGAGCACGCGGACTGTGGGACACCTGTAGGCCCCGAGTTGAATTCGTGATTCTGAAGATGAAATGAAAGATTCTCCTTTTGAATCGTGACACCCCCCCCCCTCCCACCCACCCGCCCGCCCCAAATCGTGACAATTCTACAAATCGCTGGGAAGCGAAGCGTGAATTACTTCATGGCTCAATTGTAATCGGCGAATCGACAGATTGATACGAGGTGACTTGCCAACGCAGTCCGTTACAATGTTTGTTGTTTAATTCATTATCTGTGACGCGCACAGTTCTCGTTTACTCGAGAGAATGATGCAGAGGCGCTGGAAGCCACAAACGAGCAGGAAGGCATCCCGAAACTAGCTCCTATAGTTTGCCCAAGCTCTGCGGTCCTATCTTGTTGATGCTCCATTCGCCGGCGTTTCTACATGTATCGATTGCCTATGCTGCGCTTGTGGCTACAGGAGATCACGTACGCACTCAAGCAGGCCTGGCACTCCAACTGCTTCGTGTGCGCGTGCTGCAGCCAGCCCATCGGCCAAGGCGTCTTCCACATGGAGGATGGAGATCCCTACTGCGAGAAGGGTACTCGCCCCACCCACCCCAGTCGCTGGACAGGCCTATAGGTTACACCCACTCGATGGCTAGCCACTCCCACTGTTCCGTAGCCACGCCCACTCGATGGCTAGCCACACCCACTTGCATGGTGACGACCACTCGATCGCTAGCCACTCCCACTGTTGCGTAACCACGCCCACTCGATCACTAGCCACACCCACTGCATATCCACGCCCACTCGATGGCTAACCACGCCCACTGTTACGTAGCCACGCCCACTCGATCGCTAGCCACACCCACTGTTGCATAGCCACTCTCACTTGATCGTTAGCCACTCCCACTTGCGTAGCAGAGTCGTTGGGGTTCAGAGGAGCCCAGGCAGCAGCCAGTCAGTACGTAGTAGTAGTATTGGTACGATGAAGAAGGTAGCAGTGCCGCAGCACTGCAATTCCCTTGCTTGGGCCTCTGGTTGTTTGGCACCCGCCGGCCGTTGGACTTCCTGCGGTTGTGTTTCGCAACGGCGATCCTCACCGGCGTTGTCGTAGGTTACGAGCGTGCGCGTGTCCCCCGTCCTCCTCCTCCCCTCGCGACGTGCAGACTTCTTCAGGCTGTTCAGCACCAAGTGCGAGGGCTGCGACTTCCCCGTGGAGGCCGGCGACCGCTACGTGGAGGCCCTGGGCCACACGTGGCATGACACGTGCTTCGTGTGCACCGTACGTGTGGGCCCCTCCTGAGCTCGCTCCCCCCCCCCCCCCCCAACACGAAACCGAGCGCGTTCGCGTGTTGGTCACGTCCGTCCGTCTTTATGTCTGTCCCATCAACCTGTCCGTCTTTCTGTCCGTCCATCTGTAAGTCGGTCTAGCTTTCTGTTCGTCCGTCCATCCGTGCATCCCCTCTGTGTCTGTGTGCTTTCGCGTGTGTGTCAGCTGGTAAATCTGCGCAATTGTCCATCCATCCATATGTCCGTCCGTCTTTCTTGTCTGTCCATTCGTCCATTGATCAATCCGTCTTTGTATCGTTCGTCTGTCTCTCGTCAGTCTGTCCATGTGTCCGTCTATCCTTCCGTCCGACCTTAACGCTCAAAGCACTATAACGCACGCGAAGATGATCCAGTGTGAGCACAGGTGTCGCATAAGGTGTAAATGTCATGTGATAGTGGCGTTGTTACAGAAGACACGAGAGAAACAACATTGACAAGAGCTATGTATATAGAAGAACGAGACAAAACAACAGGGCAACGGATTATGTTGCACTGCCCTTGGCTGGCAATGCATCTGCAGCAGCCGAAAGCAGATGCAATTTGTTTAAAGCGACCAATTGGTTATAACACGATTAGCACGGTTGGCTACGTACGGCGCTAAAGAAGTTCAACATACGTATCGCGGGCATAATCGATGTTTTACCCGATGAATCGACGCATCGTCACATGCTTGCCGTAGATGGGCTGTCCGTCCGCAGCGCTCTCCAACGCTCGCCCGCCTCCACCCGTCCCTCGCTCTCTTGTCTCCTCTCCTCCACCACCCGCCCTGCAGGTGTGCCAGGTGAACCTGGAAGGGCAACCCTTTTACTCCAAGAAGAATAAGCCCCTCTGCAAGAAGCACGCCAACTCCATCAACATCTGAGCGACGCGCGGCCCGCCCGCCCTTCCCGCGGGAAGCACGATGGCTGGGTTTTGGTGGAGGGGGGGGGGGGGTGGGGCAGGAGCTGAGGGCAGGGGGAGCGGGCTTCTTAGGGGTAGCAGCTGTAGGAGTGGGGGGGGGGTGGAGGAGGCAGTTTTGGATGGGGAAGGTAACAGGGCAGCACTGAGAGAGCGAGTGGAGAGAGAATTACTGCCGAGGTCTCGTTTCCGCGGCCTCGCCCCGTGCCGTCCGTCGTGCCGACGTTGTCTCACCGGGGTGGGTGGGGGGGGGAGGGGCACCGTTTATATTCCTCCGCGTGGAGTGACAGCACGAATCATCCGGTTGCTTGACGACGACCCAGCTCGCTCCACGATGCGCGGAGCGGAACGATGGACCCGGCGAGGAAGAGGCCGCCACCGGGGGGGAGGACGACGACGACGACACTCCGTCCTCGGGGAGACGACCGGTCGCGTCCTGTAACCTTTGTGACCCTCGTGGCCACGACCCCCATGGCCCGTGGTGGGGAGGTGGGGGGGGGGGGGAGGTTAGGGGGAGGGGTTAACCCGTGATTGTGGGCCGAGCTGCTCTTCGCAGAACGGCCTCCTCGTCGTCCGACGACACGTCTGCTGAGTCGGAATAAAGGGTCACGTGGATTCCTCCTCCTGCTCCTGCTCCACCGCCACCACGAACGCTTGAAAGCTTTTCCTTCTCGCTCTGGGGTTTCCCCCCCCCCAAACGTTTTTTTGCTTTGCTTGCTGCGTGCGAACGACAGCGATTCATTAATGTTTGCTCGTCGCCATTATCGGCTCGAGTGGAGTGAACGCCGAGGTGCGTTAGGAGGCATTCGATTTGGCGCTGGATATTATTATTTTTTTGCTGCTGCTCCTGCTTCTTTGTTTAGATTCATGGTCGGAGATTTTCGAAAAGTGGTCGTTGATAGCGATATGACAATGTTGGCTGTGGAGAGGGGGCTTGGTATTGGTGCCAGATGTTTGAAGGATGAGCTCATGAGAGTTTTCTGAACCAGTTTTTTTTGTTTTCATTTCGGTATTATTACATCTTGTCACACGGCGTTCAAACCTCGCCCGCTCGGGGTGCACGTTATACCAGCGCAGAGATTCACGTAACCTTCGGTTTGAACTATCACTAAGAAACTGGCGCCCAAAGGTGGAGAAAAAGAACGTGCGGAAAGTTAGGAAATTGCACGGTGGGTGCTGAGAAGCGAGCTGAGCCAGTGCATGGAAACACGAGAAAGTGAGACCATTCAACAGGGCGACCGTCGCGTTTTAGACTCAAACGTTTCCCTACTACGCGCGGGCCCTTGGGCGGCGCTCGCGCTGAGCGGCCCTCTACGGGACGCGCTTCATCGTTGTGACCACGTACCGCCGTTTGGTTGAGGGACGGGGGGGGGGGGCTCCGACGTGCCCTTCAACCCCCCCCCCCCCCACACTTCCTCCCGTACGCGGGGAAGCTCCTTCGGGGTCGCTCGTCGCGACGAACGGAGGCACGGCTGAACGCGCCGCCGCTAGGGGCTCGCTTCATCTTCCCCTCGGGAGATGTTTTTTTGTTTGTTTGGTCACCTCCGCTCGGCTTTTTACGTTTGCTGCTGTTATTTTTTTTTTTATTATCGATGAAGATTTTCCCCCACTCCCCCCCTATCCATCCCGTGATTCTTTATAGACCGCACGCTCACATGGCGTGAGTTCCGTATAGCGTTGCAAAAAAAGTAATATTCGAACACGGCGTTACTGGATACCGTGGACTGTATTTTTATTGTTAATGGTTTGGCTTGGGGTTGGTGGTGGTGTTTTTTTTGTCCCGCTTCTTCCATTCTCTCTCCTCTGTCCCCTTGTCGGTTTCCTTTAAATTTAATTTTCCTTCTGCCGTGGCCGCGTGGTGTGAAGGGCGTGACGGCGAGCGGTGGATTGTACGACTAATCGATGAGCCAGTCGAGTTAAGGAATGCAGAAGAGACTTATCATCGAGTGGATTTTTATTATTAATATTCATAATTTTTTTTGGTTCAGGTCTCAAAACGGGCCCATCTTTGTAAGAATTCTTGCTTTTTTTGTTTTTGCGGGGCATTTATTGACGAGATTTTGAGAAAGACGTCACTCACCGGGGTTTTTTTTCCTATTTTCTTTCTCTTCGTCTCGGTCTGAAGATCTGGCTTCAAGGGAGGGAGGGGAGGGTAAAATAAAAAAAATATATAAACGGCAGTACTTTAAAAAAAAGATTTTTCTCTGCTTAATTTAGACTCTGAATGTGCGAATTGGCCATGGGGTTTGTGTCGGAGTTCTGCCAAAATTTTGTGCAGAGTTCGGGAATTGTGGGGGTGTGTTGGTGCCGTGTTGGATTTCCGAAGCAACGATAGATTCCTTAAACCAGGGCTTACGTCTAAATAAAAAAATCTAATTGTAAGTTAGTTTTTGGCTATTCGAACCATTCTCACTCGCGCAAGCCTATGACGGAGGGCAACAGCTGTGTTCCACAGACATAGTCACAGACATCGTCACAGTCTGTGTTCCACGGACATAGTCACAGACATCGTCACAGTCTGTGTTCCACGGACATAGTCACAGACATCGTCACAGTCTGTGTTCCACGGACATAGTCACAGACATCGTCACAGTCTGTGTTCCACGGACATAGTCACAGACATCGTCACAGTCTGTGTTCCACGGACATAGTCACAGACATCGTCACAGTCTGTGTTCCACGGACATAGTCACAGACATCGTCACAGTCTGTGTTCCACGGACATAGTCACAGACATCGTCACAGTCTGTGTTCCACGGACATAGTCACAGACATCGTCACAGTCTGTGTTCCACGGACATAGTCACAGACATAGTCACAGACATCGTCACAGTCTGTGTTCCACGGACATAGTCACAGACATAGTCACAGACATCGTCACAGTCTGTGTTCCACGAACATAGTCACAGACATCGTCACAGACATCGTCACAGTCTGTGTTCCACGGACATAGTCACAGACATCGTCACAGACATCGTCACAGTCTGTGTTCCACGGACATAGTCACAGACAGTTTTTGTTCCACAGGCATAGTCACAGACTGTCACAGACAGTCACAGACGCAGCCTGCGGAAGCTTCTCACTCGGGAGTAAATGTTGCCGTGGCTTAACTACCTTAAAGATATTTCTTTTTGAAGCACACGAGTTTAGAGTTGGTGAAAAGCCTTCGCATTGCCAACGTTCTCGTGGCACGTGGCTATTACGCCCGCGAGCGTTTGTTGGTGTCAAGGTTCATGGTACAGCTCCTTGCGATTGTACGCTGTGCCAGAATTACGTCCTCTAGAGTGAGCTCCAGTGAGGGGGGGGGAGGGGTGTATTTGGCCTACTCCTCCACGCTAGACAAGCATCTCGGGAGGAGGTGGCAGTATCCACACTTTACCCCACCAGACACAACCTGCCAGTCAGTTAACTGCGGTAGTACCTATTTATACTGCTCTTGTTGCTCTATAGCGGGGTTTATTTTTTTGTTTTTTTTATATATATATTGTAGTCTCTTCCGTACTGCGCCCAGCAGCGTTGAGGATGGCATCGGTCTGATCCATTGCCGATGAAACCCTCTCTGATGGAAAAAAAAAAAACACAATCGAGCCTTACTCGAGCCCAGCGTTCTTCACTCATTTTCAGATTGGGGAGGCAGGGGAGAGGGCACTTTGGCCGATAAGACATCATCAGTGCGAGGGCCGCCACACATCTGAAACCATTGCGGGTTTGACAGCTGCACGATGATGATGATGTGGGGGGGGGGGGGGGTGTTCTCAACATTTGTGAATTGTCAGGGGCCGCACTAAAGGGCCACCAGAGGCCACCAGTGACCCGCGGGCCTTGCAATGAAGAAACACCGCTCGGGAGAGCCAAAGAGTTTTTCCGCGCGTTGCATTTCACGTTGGCACGGCACTTGCGGCGAGATTCTCTTATCCGGACACCGCTTCGTTTGCGTATCGACGCACGTCGGCAGCAATCGCGAACGTGCAGAGAACGGCCTGACGTCAAGACGCGTTTCTTATTTGTCCTTTCTCCCATTCGTAGCGAGCGAGTGATCTTTAACGAAGCAAAAAAAAATCAACAACGAAGAATTATTATCGAGCTTGCAAGGTTTTGTGTTTTTTTAGCGTCCAATTCGAAGTTGGCGCGCCTTATGGAATACGAGCACCATCGCAGGCACAGCCATCAAGAAATTCACTTTTATTCTCGCTCGTCGGTCGTGAGCAGGGTTTCCCTTTCAGCTGGCTCTGCCCGGAATGGCATTCCAGAAATATATTCCCCGGACCCGGCGCACCACGTCCAGTATTACGCCTCTCGCTATGGCTGCGGCTGCGACCGGTTCTTGTGCCGACCTACTCCCGTCTGCCGGCGGTCCGGAAAATATTTGGCGAGAAATTCACGGCGCCGTCGATTTACTCACAAAAACTGGGCACTCCTCTGGCCCGCCAGCGAAAATGGATTGCGGTGGCCAAAGAGCCTCGGCCGGCATTGACGCCCGCTGCGTGTTTGCTATGTTACATGCGTATTGGTTTCAATAAAGCCAGAAATGAACTCATCCCTTGGTTGCCCCGCGTACTCTGCTCACTCAGCACCGCGCGCGTGTGTGCGCGTGCCAAGGTGGCTAAAGCACAGCAGGTTGGCACAGTAGGGGGCACAGGTGGTGCATCAGCCAGTCATCTCGGTCATCTCAGTCAGTCGACCCGTGGCACCTGCTGGGTCTGCCCCGTGACCTCCTGCCGGCGGGCGTTCGACACTTCACGTGGCCTCAAGGTGCACATGGCCTGGCACAAGCGTCGTTGTGACGTCACCGCCACTTCGTGGCGAATGGCGGTGGTTGTTGTGCCAAGGTGGCGCAGCGGGTTTGCGCTATGCTCCGCACTCGCGGCAAACACCGGTGATGATTATCTGAACTGGTCCTGTGCCTCGCCTGGGTCGACTCGGCCTCAAATCAATACCTGGTGTGGTGTGTCAATATCGCCGCTGGTGAGACAGGTTGCCGGACGTGAAGCTGGTCATCCATCCCTTCCTGTACCGTGCCGGCCTTCATA